AAAAAAAAAAAAAAAAAAAAAAAAAAAACACGAAGGTGTGGCGCAGGCCTGTAATTCCCATTCCTGTAACTAAGGAGGCTGAGGCAGAAGGAATGCTGCGAGTTTGAGAACAGCCTGGGCTACACAGTGAGTTCTAGGGCAGTCTGAACTAGGTAGACCCTGTCTCAAAAAAGAAAATACATAGATATGATGTATTGGGATGAACAAAGGATTTTTAAATGTGCTGAAGAATTTACTGGAGGGGCCAGGGATTTACCTGAGCGGCACCATGTCTGCCTTGTAAGTGCAAGGTCCTGAGTTTGATCCCTGATACCAGAAAAACATTTTTTTTTTTTTTTACTGGAGGTCCAGGGATGTAGCTCAGTGGCACCTCACCGGCCCTGCAAGCACAAAGTCATGTACCAATTTCTGGTACAGGGGAAGAAAAAAATTTACTGGAAAAATGACAGTGGATGAACAGGTTGAGATGCTCCACAGAGAAACAGAAATTAAAAGCTAAGTGGGAAGTCTTGTAATGAAAAGTACAAATCTAAACTGAAAAAGTTACCCAAAATAAAAAAATGTTATTTTTTTAGGCCTAACACTAAGTTAGAACAGGGACTGAATTGGAAGACAAGCCAATAAGTTGGCCACAGCTCAGAGAGAAAGAAAAATACAGGGTTTAAGACTTGTGGGACACTGTCCAATGTATCCATAATTTGAGAATCTGGAGAGGAGAGGCACATTATAGGGTAAGAGAAATCATTATAGCAATAATGCCTGAAATTTCCCCACAGTTGTTGATAAACAACAAATTCAAGTACTTAAGTGCACCCCAGGCTGAATAAAATAGAGTGAAGACCATATTTGGACATATTATTTTCAGGTGAAAAAGAACAATTTCTTGCTGACTGACAGGAAAAATGACTAAAGGCTAAAGTCTGGTGTGGCAGGACCAGGCAGGCCTGTAATTCCAGCACTGGGGAGGCTGAGGCACAAGGATCACTGCAAGTTCAAGGCCAGCCTAAAATACACAGTGAGACTCTGTCTCAAAAAACATCACAAAACAGTGCTGGGCATTTAGCTCAAGTGGTGCTGCACCTGCTCTGCAAGCACAAGGTCCTGAGTTTGATCCCCGGTAGCATTAAAAAAAAAAAATTGCAAAACAAAAGAAAAAACCTAAAGGCCAAAGGAAAATATCCTTAATGGGAACCTCTGTTTCCAAGAAGGAATGTAAAACTTTGGAAATGATAAATAGCTTAATTTTTCTAAATATCTATTAGCTACTTAAAGCAAAAGAAATTACAATATTTGTAGAACTAAAGACAAAAGCAAAGTGGGAGGGGGCAATAAATGAAATTATACTTGTTTAAGGTTATTTTGTACAAAATGTATACTATTTAAGGCAGACTGATAAATTGAAGGTGCAAACTCAATCTCACTAAAAAGTGCAGTAGAGCTAAAAAGCCATAAGAGGATAAAATGGATTACTAAGAAATATGTGATATAGGGTCGGGGATTTAGCTCAGTGGTGCCACCTGCCTTGCAAGTGCAAACACCCGAGTTCAATCCCCTGTACCAAAAAAAAAAAGTGACTTACATGGAGTTAAGAAAATGAGACAACACAGTGGATGCTACAAGCTGAGACACAGCAGTGTTAACAGGTTGAATTTAAATAAATTGTCTTCTTACCTGACCCCTTCCTGAACTACTAAGTCAGTAGACAGTTGAAACCTCAAGACCTTGGCAAATTTGATGATTGACTAGGAGCACTCACAAGACTCTGCATACAATTATTAGAGAATGGATTACTACAACAAAAAGATGTAAAGCAAAATTAGCAAGAAGAGAATTGAGCAATCAGAAAAAACCAAGCACCAACATCCAAGAGTCCTCACCAATTACAGTCACACAGCATGCATGTTACTGCTCCAACAAGTGACAGTATTTGCGAAAGTACTAAGCCTGAAGAACAGAGTGAGCCACTCTGTTAGAGAAGAGGGGAAACCCTCCTCCAAATCCAAGTTCTCAGATACCAGTCGAGCCAACGTTGCAAGCAGTATTTTCACAGTTAACAGCCCCAGGCCTATATTTTAACTCTTCTGCAGGGTTTCAGATCAAAGATTAGTGGGTAGGAAACTTACAGTGACCCAAAGTTTGGTGCCAGAGACCCAAGTGTTGTAAGCTTATCTATAAAGACAGCACAGTGTAGGTGTCTGGGAGAAAGTGGAGATGTTTGTCACATGGTGGGCAGCCTGGAATGAGAAATAAGAGTATGGATGAGAGGTTTATTTTTTCAATAATCAATCTGATGGGGTTTCAATCAAGTCTTAGGGCTTGCTTGATGGAGGAAGTTTCAATGGGTTTGTTTCCATCTGTTTCCCATGGGATATTGCTTTAAAAAATGATTCTAATAGCTAGTGTGGTGGCACATGCCTGCAATCCCAGCATTCAAGAGGCTGAGGCCAGCCTGAATTATAAAACCAGACCCTATCAATAAACAAAACTGATTCCCAACTCTCCATGATTTAAGTTAAAAAATCTCCATTTTGCAGTTGTGTGAGAACAATACATATTCAGAGGAAATTATATTCCCAAATTTGTATTTTAGTATTTTTTTGCAGCCAGTGGGCCCAATGCTCTTCTTCCCCACTGGGTAACATATTTAGCCTTCTTTCAGATGTTAAAAAAAGCCTGCTCTTTTTTTTTTTTTTTAATTTAGCATACAGTATTTGCACCGTTTATTCTGCCTTGTGTAGCGGGAGCTTAACATAAGAACATCCATCTTGGAAGAAACGTAAGGACATCTGCGTGACTGGCAGGCCAATCATCTCAGGGCAAGAAATGCAAGCAGTTCTTTGGTAAGCTCCCAAGAGGAGGTAGATAAAGTAAATGTTCCTTAAGGGCGTGGGAAGGATAAAAGTAGAAAACAAGTTGTTTTTGTGAGCACAGCTGGCCAAAATATTATATAATTTCAGATATAAGATAAAATGCTAAAAATATGCTCTTCGTCTGATGCTCTTAATAG